CACCTAAGGATGGAAACAGGTCTAGTTCCTGAAACATTATGTTTTTTGGAATATGACATGAACACAGTCCAAATAAATAGCCATCGTGAGTGTTATATACTAGTTGGTACCCTTTAGAATCTCCACATTATCTGGTGTCTGAGCATTCAGAATTCTCATGCAGTGAGCAAATATTTCAAAGAAAATTTACCATTTTCATAAAGAAAGTTGAAAAGACTGTGATGTGTACATGTTCACCTCGTATGTTGTAGTTCTAGTCAGCAGTAACAGCACTGCCTGTCATGCTGTATTGTGCATTTACCACTGCAATAAAGCCTGGTTGAATTTATCCAAAATATTTCACCCGTCACCTCATTTTGATTGTCTTTTTGTCATTGATTAATGTACCTTCAGGCACTGGCAATTATCGTTAAGACCACAGTGTCACATCCAAGAAGATGGTAAATTTTATGGTTATCTTAGCAAGAACCTCACATTTTGGATGTTGACTTGTTTTGCTCTCTGCACTCCCAGACATGTAAATTGTGTTAACTATTATCTTAAAATTGTCATTGCAACTAACTAGAAGTAATAATAGGATAGAATGCTGATGCATTGGTAGCTGCTACTGGCTGCTGTGAAGATCTCAATATTCAAAGGAAACATAACTAACAAAATGTGCTAAGTGTGGTCCATACATAAACTGTGTGACAGGTGGAATAATTATTACAAATTAAATTCAGCAGTACCAAACATTTTCTTCACATTGTAAAAACCCGTGCAGAAGAAAGTTTGCAACAAAGTGTGAAGGAAAAGAAAACAATTTATTTTCGTGTTTTGTTCTTCTTTAAGTTCAGGATGTCAGTATACAGAATCAAAGGACTTCACATGACATTAGTGTTGTTCCTTGTAGCCCAAAATTTTATAACACCTCGTATTTTAAACCTTAAGTAACCTATCAATCATTCATGATGGCTTACACACTATACCTACTATTCAACATAAAATCCTAATTAAAGTGTGGGGTTTCCCACTGTAAGAGCTTCTGCAGAGATTAAGGCTTGTATCTGTTCACAGAAAATACTGCCCGAGAAATACGGATAACTTAAACCTTTAAGTCTGAATGAGATCCACTGTGTGCCCTCATGGTTTACATGTTTGAGGTGTTAAGAAATCTTAATCGCCTCTGTGGTCTAGTGATCAGAATTCCTGGCTGCATATCCAGAGGTCCCAGGTTTGATTCCTGGCGCTACCAGATTTCCTGAGAAATAGTGGGTCTGGAATGGGGCCCACTCACCCTTGTGAGCATGATTTAGGAGCTACTTGAATGGAAAAGTAGTGCCTCCAGTATAGAAAACTGAGATTAACGGCCATGGGGATCCGTTGTGCTGACCACACGACAGCCTCTATCCGCAGAATGTTGGCATTAACTTCGCTGACAAGCGGCGATCGCTTGGTCAGTATAGTTCACTTGTGGACTAAGACCATAGAGTTTATAGTTTTAATTAATCCTGCAAGTCATGGCATTTGACAAAAGAGACCCACACCTTGCCATGAACTCAAAACTAATATGTGGGATTCATCTTCTCCACATTCCCAGAGTTAAAGCTTTGTATGTATTGCAACCAGAAGATACTTAGCAATCAAACATGGAACCTCTATAATGACTCCTGATGCTCATTGTATTTGCGGTCTTAAGTAACTACTGAATCTGTCATTGATTTAATGCATCTGCCCACTGAATCAGTGTAGTGAACTTACCAATGGCAAAATCATCTGGACTGTAATACTGTGGATCATCCCAGTTGGTGCCTGGTTTTGGTATGCGGGTTGACCTGAGGTACGTCCTTTGCACGAAACCCGAGTTATGTTGTGGGATCTCAGTGATGGTGATGGAGCAGTCTGACAGTGAATAGCTGAACATAAACTTGCGATCCTTGTCTTCAGGATGTACCCAGTCCATGACAGCCTCATAGCGAAGGTGCTGTGGCAAGAATGGCATGTTTCTGTGATCTCTCAACAAACAGCAAGACTAAAAGTTATACATTCTGTTGCTAAAGCATTTTTATCTGTATTTCTGGTACATAATCTTTATACTTTTACCTTAGAGGCAGGGCCATTCTTCATCTGGTATGTATAATCGCCAATAGTTGATGTGTAATGGCAAAAATCAGAAGTTACATATCTGTCAGAGCATTGTATTCTTTTACTGTATCCAAAAACTGAGCAAGACTATGTTTTTAGTCAAGAAATAAAGGTCTGCTAACGAAATATTGAATAAGATTAATAATAGAATTCATAGATACAGAATTTTGGTGGAGATAGCTACTGAAGACAAGCCACCTGAAAAACTATATGTATTTCAGATGATTAATATTAAAATGTATGTCAGGGAAACAGGTAATGCCTTTAGTTACTATAGGATTCTGACGATGGTGTATAACACACTGATATATTGGGTTTTTGGACTTTATCCATCGTCCTGGTTTTTAAGATAACTAATAAAAACACGATGTTTTGGAAACTGGATCTGTTTCCGTCCTCAGGTGAAGGAAAACACCTATTCTGTTGGGTCCGTTAGAAAGAGCTAGCCTCAATCACGGGACAAACCGATGTTTGTCTAACACTAGTTAGACACTATTAGTTTTTGTTACTAGTTCTTTGTATTCCATGTCGTGGGGTCATGGACTTGGTTATGAGTTTGGTTTCGTGGCATAAATTTCTACAGATCTATCTATCCTAGTTCCACTACAAAGTGTGATGCTGTCTCCCACTTTATTTCTGATTGTCGCAGCTGTTATCATGTTTTTCCCATCATTTCAATCAGGCAAGATGCAGTTAAATGCTTGTTACATCCTTAGTTTAAAAAGACAATGTTGTATTGTCTCAGTAATTGGATCCCCATAAAATTTCAAGGCCCTAAGCTGTAGCATATGTAGCTTATATGTAAATAGGGTACCGGGTTTCTGTCAATAAAATATAATTATTTTGTTAAAAACTTTTTGTAAGTATTGTTTTAGCTTTGCAGTAAAGATGGTACAGAGCATTTGCCTCAGTGCAGTTGAAGGTACCATTATCTGCTCTGTTCTGAGTTGGTATTTATCCCCTCCACTGTCATGTTTGCTGAAAGTGGACTAGAGAAGTTATACTGGAGCTGATAGCAAGGCAGAGTTCACACATAATTTTCTGGGGTCATATCAGAGCTAAATCTCTTAACACTGTTTTTATATGCCCCCACTTTTCTTGTACAGTATTGTATAAAATCTGTTAGTAGTGAAATTAGTAATATTATTTCTCAAACATTTTGTGAGCAAAAAGGATGTAAATTGCAGTCCATCTTATAAAACATTTGTCAGTGCATGTTGTTCTTCTCTTATCAGTTTCTTTCTTCAATGTCATGTGATTGTGTCTGCATAGCGAGATTCTTTTAAATTCAAATTCTTGTGGATCTTGAGGCTAATTGTGGTTTGAGTATAGCATTGAAAGAAAAGATGACTATAAATAATAAATTGGAAAGGATGTGGAAATGATCATGGCATGTATTTTTAAAGAAATGTCCCAGAATTCACCTGGATAGCCTGAGTAAAACCAAAAAAATCCTAAGTCAAAATAGACTATCTCCAGGCTGCTAATTAAAATCAGTCCCTGCACAATTAATTATCATTCATTAAGGCAGACTGCACAGTAAATAATACAGCATATTAAAATGTTCTGATTTAACTAAATGTATTAAGATAAAAATAGAAACGGATACATGAAAATTTTATGAATGGTTCTTACCCACACATCAAATGCAGAATTGTTTCATTGGCTCTTGTTTGCCTACATTTAGCTTGTGTCTGTATAGCAACACTTCTTTATAACACTAATAATCTCTCAGTCCTCTATATACTTTATACCATGTTTCTTTACATGTTACTCACTTTACCAATATTGACCACATATTGTACAACATTCTTCTTTGGAGGCTTCAGGGTTGTAACAGTAAGACTGGATTGCAGAGAGTCCTCAGGACTTCCAAATCCAAAATAAGGTGGTACAGGCTGAAAGGACACAAATTATTATGCATACTAAAAAATTTGCTTAGTGGGGGATGGAGTCCAACTGGGTCCACTCGGCATGGCGGCCACTGATTGGCCTATTGTAGCCTACCCCAGGTGATTATGATGATGGAGAATTTGGTGGAATGAAGATTGGCAGGGGAAACTGAAGTACTCAGAGAAAACCCACCCCAGCGCCACTTTGTCCACCACAAATCCCACTTGACCATGCCCAGGATCGAACCCAGGCCACCGTGGTGGGAAGCCAGCAACTAAACGCTTGAGCTATAATGCATACTAACTACTGTATGGAGCTGAATTCTTGAGAAGCTGCCTGTTGCTCATCTATTGAAGGAATTCCCCAAATTTTATGGAACCCGAAGGTTGATTACAGTTTTTACAAGAGTCCTCTACTGGTCCCTATCATGAGCCGAATGAATCCAGACCATAGCACCCTAACCAGTTTCTCTCAAATACATTTGAGTGTTATCCTCCTATTTGTGTTTGTGTCTTCCTAGTGGTCTCTTCTGTTCTGGCTTCTGCACCAAAATCCTAAATGCTGTCCTCTTCGTCCCCATGCATGCTACATACCCTGCCTATCTCATCCTTGAATTGAGCATTCGAACTATATCTGGCAAAAAGTTCATGTTATGAAGATCCTCACTGTGCAGTTTTCTCCAGCCTACCAATTTTTCATCCTTCTATCCAAATATTCTCATCAGTGCCCTTTTCTCAAATACCTTCAGTCTATGTTCTTCCCATAATGTCAAAGACCAGGTTTTACACCCATGCAAAACTACGGGCAACATAATTTTGTGCATTTTAAATTTTACATTTTTAGTCAGCAAGCAGGGCACAAAAGGTTCTGAACTGAATGGTAGCAAGTGTTACCCAAATTCGGGCTGTTCTCAGTTTTCTCAAGAATCAAATTTTAATCTTTACTGTCATTCCCAGATATTTGAAATTTGCCATGTTTTCAAAGGATCCGTTGCCTATATGTTGTGATTTTGCCATGCATTCTGCTGACAAGACATTAACATATACTTGCTTTTCTCTGCATTCAATTATAGACCAACTTGCTTACTAGTGTCAATTAGAGCGTCTGTGTTTTTCTTTATAACATTTATATTATCTTCCAGTACATACACATCATCAGCATGAACCAGCAGCTGATGTGTCCCATTTAATTTCAGTCCCACCTGGTTTTTCTGGGAACCTTCCTAATTGCATATTCTAAGGAGTAGTTGAAAGCCATGCAATAAAACATCTTGTTTTAGACCTTTCTAAATGTGAAACATATCAGACAAATGTTTACCTATACAGGCTTTACTATATGTTTCATTTAAACACATTTTAATGACTAACCAGTTTCATGGTTACTCCAAAGTCAATGAGAATATTGTATAATACTTCCATTTTAACTGAATCATAGTATTTCTTGAAGTTTATGAATTGCTGATGTACCGTCTCATTGTACTCCTGTTTTTTCTCCAGTATCTGATGAATGAAAAAACTCTGATCAGTAGTTGATCTGCTATGTCAAATACCCACACCGAAGATCCATATTTTTAAGGGGTGTAACTCATTCATAATATGGAAAAGTCTATGAACAAATCTGAAACACATTTTTGCGCCCTTATACAGAAACTACTTTAGAACAATGTAGTGTCAGAATTGGGTACATTTGCATCCATTATTAAGCATAAAATTGTGCTCCAGCAACAACAACGCCTATTTAAAATACAGAAGTCTGTGTATAAAATGGAAACATTGGTTTACAAACTGCATCTCATGGTCAAATACACACAATTTTAAATTGTATAAATTTTTTAAACATTTTGTGATATAGATGGGGTGCCGTGGTTACTTGTACCTTCTTTAAGTTCTAGATGAAAGTTTTTTTCCCCCCCACTTTTTATAATTTCCTAGTCAGTATGTACATATTTACTCACAGCCACCAGAGGAGGGGGCATCTTCTTTGATACATCTATGGCATCTTTTTGGGTTATGTTGAGGATCTCCTTGAAGTACTTCCTTGTGAATTCGTCTGCATCATAGATGAGGAACCTGCAACATATAATTTGTGTGCTGGAGGGACAATGCTGCATCTTGTGCACATCTTGCACAACGACAGTATACAGCTGTGATAATGAAAATTTATGTTGTAGTTTCTTTAATGGCGCTCTATGCAACTCAAGACTATATAGTGTTGACAGCCGCACCATAGCTCAAGCGGTTAGTCGCTGGCTTCCCACCGCGGCGGCCCGGGTCTGGTCAAGTGGGATTTGTGGTGGACAAAGTGGCGCTGGGGCAGGTTTTCTCCCGAGTACTTCAGTTTCCCCTGCCAATCTTCATTACACCAACTGCACCACAATCACCCTCACCTATCATCTTGGGCTGGTACAATAGGCCAGAAGTGGCCGCAGTACAAGGGACTTAGTCCCACCCCACCAGCAATAAAAAATATAGTGTTGATGACCACACGATGGCAAATAAAGCATTAGGGTGTGGAAGGAAATGGCCATGGATGAGCACAAGCTACTATTCTAGTGTTTTCCTGAAGGGACTGAGCAAAACCACAAAAAGATTTGTTAGGATTTTCAGTGTTCCAGCTGATATATGAACCAGACTTCTCAAAAATTCAAGTAAGAATCATGACTTTCCTATCCAGTTTTCTCAGTTGAAAATGAAGAATAATAATTTGTTTTTTT